GTTTAGGGTTTAGGGGCTTTTTTTGCGCCTCTTGCCAGACATGCTTTCAGGGGCCGTCTTCTGCCAACAAAGACCCTACAAATCCCTGCAACCTACATCCGCGAGTACCCACAAGCTTACGTGCCTTTTAGAAGAGAATCTGAGCTCATTTTTCCAGGGCTTCGGGTTCAACGGTTGCAGGCTTGAAGATGAAGTCCCTGAGCCGAAACTGAAATCTGAAGTGCTAAAATTGCTGACCCGAAGCTCTGAAAGCTCTGCTACATCCCCGGGCCCCTTCATGACTGCCAGGTGTCCGAGCAGCAGTGCTGCTGTCAGTGTGTCGACATTAGCACAGCAAACCTTTCGGGCTTGAAGGCTTGCAAGATAATTCCTTCTTTAAATAATTATCTGTAAGCTTTGTAGGATATTTTGGGGGCACTCAACATGCATCTCGGGGCGAGTCCTTGCCTTACCCTACGTTCTGGTGCGGATGTCCGGGTGCGCCAGGGATGGCAGATTTTGAAGATGCGCCTAAACCCTGACAAATACTTAACCCTAGTAGACCCCAGAACCTCTCCCCTTCCCTCGACGACNNCCCCCCCCCCCCCACCACCTCCCCTTCAAAAAAAAGGCACGGACCCAAAACCGGCTATCCACCACCCACCCCCGAAGAACACCTAAAAAAAAAATCGGAACCCTAACTTATACCCTAACACTTCATGCTTCAGACTTGGGCCTCGGTTCGCGCGAAGCGTGGCAGGGAGCTCCGCTCTGACTCGGCTGAGGGCCCGGTCTCCGGGAACGACCAAACCTTGCGCGTCTTCATTGAGGACATAAGTGACATAAGTGCTCCTTGTCGATCTGTCTTGCTGAGTCTGAATCTTGGTTCGCTGTTGACCGTTGAAACTGTAAAGTTGAAGGTTTGGATCTGTTGTGTTGGATCGAGCTGTCTGGTGTCGTTCACTGAGGCGTCTACAACTCCGCTTGGGTAGTTCGTCGATCTTGATGGTCGCTTTGAAGGCAAGTGTCTGGCAGTCTCGGCAGCAAATACTGAAGAGTCGAAACTCAATGCTCAAAGCCGAAAAACCTCAGATCTGCAAAACAATGCACCCTGAGCCCGAAAGGAGCGACTGCCCGCGAAGAAAACACGATGAAGTCTTGCATAAATCTGTTCCGCCCCTTCAGCTGCAAACCATGCCGAAGCCAACCAGTGCCATGTATTGCGCGACTCGAACCTGAACAATCCAGTCAACCCTGATCATCGGAATGTGCCAGCCTCCAGAGCAAAACTCGAAAAAGAAGCACGGCTTCAACACAACAGCTTTAGCAACCCGTGTAAACAATGCCCATCAGCCTGAGACGGTAACCTTGACCCCCGAATACATGGTAGGGCCGAAAACATGTAAAGACCTGTACAGTGTACAGCAGAAACCCCAAACTCTAGTCTACGTCGGCTGTTGTATTGGGAACAATTTCAGGCCTCGGCGACCACCGGCGGGACGGGTTGCCAGGGCTCCCCGAAGCCTCCGTGCTGGTGGATCAGGTCGTTGGCTTCGGCGATGCCCTTGAGGTTAGTAGAGTAGTAGAGTGTTGTGAAGTTTCGGGTTTTGGCTTTCCTGGGACTTCGGGGCCCTTGGCCCTAGATGGAACTTGGGCTGGCAAGGGCTTAGGATTGAAGGTTTCTCGGCCGGAAATCAACCCTGAATCGTAAGTTGCTGACGAAACGGAGCCCGAAAGCACTAACTGCATCTCACACCCGATTTGGGAGTTCCCACCGAGGAGACAAATAGCCAGAGAGACGGCTTATGGATCTGCCGGCAGGCGAGAGGCCTAGTTCTCAGGACTGCCTACTTGCTACGCGACCACTTTTCCGAACCGAGCTGCTAAAGCTGGAGAGACCTATACTAAAGCTGCTAGACCAGAAACACTGATGAAACTCAAAACCTACAGGCCCCATACAGCCGTAGCCGGATCATCGAGGGAAAGGGTTGCCAAAACGGGGCCCATCATTCCTGGAAAACACGTTTCAAAGTGCAGGCCTTGACTGCTGACCACTTCTCTCTGTAACGGTTCGCCTCTAGCCGTCTGCAAAGATCGGCGGAGAGGTGAAAGTAGTGGTCACTCATGGCTCGAGGGGTTCAGATACAGGGGCGTTAGGACGGGAGGCTTCGCATTTAACTATTGAGCTTGGGACGGCTTATTGTTTTCAGGCCTGTTCAAAGCTTACGGGTTAGGGGTATAGTAAGGCAAGGGCTGCATACGGCTTCGGAGCTAAGGGCATAGGCTGACACACCCGCACACTACACAGCTACAACCATCCTTCACTGGATACCCATAGGCCCCTAAGTAGTTCCTTTTTGGGATTGCCTGATAGGATTCTAAAAGAAAAACCATAAAAAGGAACTACTTAGCGGCTTAGGGGTAGAGAGCCCCAATGCACATGCCATGGGACGTGTGTTCCTAAACTTAGGGTTTCCCTCCAAACCTTGAGTCCCCAAACCCTCGTAGCCTTCCCGTTGTAGGGCCCGGGGTTTCGGGTATTCTGGTTGAAAGGTTTGGGCTTCGGTGCTCTTTTTTGGGGGGGCTTTAGGGTCTTAGATCTGTGGGTCTTTTCTAGGGCTCCTCGGCTCGAGGGGTTTGGGACGAAAAGGCAATCCCCTCAGAGACGCTGACCCCTTGAGCCACGTAGACATGCAGAGGTTGGCCATGAACCCCTGGGAAAAACCGTAGCCCTATTTAAACCCTGACAAGCCAACAAACCCTAGAAATCCTAAACTGCACCCCTAAAGCGCAGAAACCCTAAACAGCCAGAGAGCCAACTATGCGTCGGTTTAAGTGGGTTTACGGCTGGAGAGTTTGCGTTATGATTGGGGGTTAAAATGGGGTGGGGGGGGGGGGGGGG